CCTGCCACTACATCCCTGTGTGTGTGTGTGTGTGTGTGTGTGTGTGTGTGTCCATGCAGGTGCCTACAGAACTACATCCCTGTGTGTGTGTGTGTGTGTGTGTGTGTGTGTGTGTCCATGCAGGTGCCTACAGAACTACATCCCTGTGTGTGTGTGTGTCCATGCAGGTGCCTACAGAACTACATCCCTGTGTGTGTGTGTGTCCATGCAGGTGCCTACAGAACTACATCCCTGTGTGTGTGTGTGTGTGTGTGTGTGTGTGTGTCATGCAGGTGCCTGCAGAACTACATCCCTGTGTGTGTGTGTATCCATGCAGGTGCCTACAGAACTACATCCCTGTGTGTGTGTGTGTCCATGCAGGTGCCTACAGAACTACATCCCTGCTCAGAGCCTGTCCCTCTCGTGCCCCGTGTGCCGCCAGACCTCGATCCTGCCGGAGCGAGGGGTGCCCGCGCTGCAGAACAACTTCTTCATCACCAACCTGATGGAGGTGCTGCAGCGGGACCCCGACAGCGCCGCCCCGGGCCCTGCCCCCGGCTCCGGGCCCCTGGGCACTGCCCCCGCGCCGCCGCTCTGCTGCCCCAACCACCACGGAGAGGTCGCACCGGGGGGCACTGGGGGACAGGGGGAGGCTGCAAGGATCTGGGGGGTCCAGGGGCAACTGGAGGGGTCTGGGGGCCTGTAGGTGCTCAAGGGGGAGCTTTGGGGGTCCAGGAGGGGAGAAGGGGCCCTAGAGTCCGGGGGGGGGGGGAGTGTCTGCAGGGACTGGGGGGGGCTGAGGGGTTCTGGGGGTGCTGGAGGGATTGGGGGGGCTCATGGGGGCTGTAGGGGATCTGTGGGGTGTGTGCGGGGCTGTGGGGGCTGAAGGGGTCTGGGGCCTGCAGGGACCTGAGCGGGCTCAGGGGGTCTGTGAGGACCCGGCGGGGCCCAGGGGGATGTGGGGGGGGCTCATGGGGGTCAGCGGCCGCTCCGCCCCCGCAGGTGATGGAGTTCTATTGTGAGCCGTGCGAGACCGCCGTGTGCCGCGAGTGCACCGAGGGCGAGCACCGCGAGCACGGCACCGCGCCCCTGCGCGACGCCGTCGAGCACCACAAGGCGGCGCTGCAGAGACAGCTCGACGCCGTCCGCAGCAGGCACGGCCGGGGGGGCCGGGGACACCTCGGGCCGGGGGGTGCGGGGGATCTTGGGGTGCCGGTGGGTTTGGGGGTCAGGAGGTACGGGGGCTTAGGGGTCCCGGTGGGTGCTGGTGGGTGCTGGTGTGCTTGGGGTCCCGGTGGGTTTGGGGGCCCAGGGGTTGGGCGCGCCGGTGGGTTTGGGGTCTTGGCAGGTTTGAGGTGTCCGGGATCAGGTGGGTTTGGGGGGTCCAGGAAATCCGGGGGTTTGGTGCCTTGGGCGCTTGGAGGTGCTGGTGGGTTTGGAGGCTTGGGGCGCCCGGGGGGTCCCAGTGTGTTCGGGGTCCCGGTGGGTTTGGGGTCCCGGCGGGTCGGGGGTCCCGGTGTGTTTGGGGTCCCGGCGGCTCTGGGGTCCCGGTGGGTTTGGGGTCCCGGCGGCTTTGGGGTCCTGGCGCGTTTGTCCCCCCCGGGCTGACACCGTCCCCGCAGGCTCCCGCAGCTGGCGGCGGCCGCGGCGCTGGTGTCGGACATCAGCCAGCAGCTGCTGCAGCGCCGGGACGAGGCCGCGGCCGAGATCGGCGGCACCTTCGAGGAGCTGGAGGCGGCGCTGCGGCAGCGGCGGGGGCTGCTCCTGCGAGACCTGGAGGCGGCCTGCGGGGCCAAGCACCGGGTGCGGGCACGGGGGGTGATGGCCCCGCACTGCATGGGGGCTGCATGGGGGCTGCTGCTGAGCAACCTGCCTGCAGGCGGCGTGCGGGGCCAAGCACCGGGTGCGGGCACGGGGGGGGGATGGCCCCCCACTGCATGGGGGTTGCATGGGGGCTGCATAGGGGCTGCTGCTGAACAACGTGGTGGGGGCACGGAGGAGCTGCATGGGGGGTGCTGCACTGGGGTGCTGCCTGTCTCCATGCCACTGTGCTCCCACACTGCCAAGCCTGCATGTTGCCAAGCCCCCGTGTCCCTGCAGTGCCGTGCTGTGCTGCTGCATGTTCCTGTGCCACCAAGCCCCCGTGCCACATGCCCCCGTGTTGCTGTGCTGCCATACCATGTCTCTGCACGACTGTCCCCCTGTGCTGCATGGCCCTGTGCTGCCAAGCCCCCATGTTACCATACCCCTGCACTGCTGTGGCCCCATTCACCGTGCCTCCATATCCCCACGTCCCCACGTCCCCATGCGCCTGCCCCACGGTGACGCGCTGGTGCCCGCAGGTGCTGCAGGCGCAGCTGGAGGCGCTGCGCCAGGGCCAGGAGAGCATCCTGAGCAGCTGCGCGTTCACGGAGCAGGCGCTGCGCCACGGCACGGCCCCCGAGGTGCTGCTGGTGCAGAAGCAGATGAGCGAGCGGCTGCGGGACCTGGCGGCGCGCGACTTCCCCGAGCACCCGCAGCAGAACGCGCAGCTCGACTACCTGGTGGAGACGGACGGGCTGCGCAAGTCCATCCTCAACCTGGGTGCGCTGGTCACCACCAGCGCCACCGCGCACCACACGGTGGCCACGGGCGAGGGGCTGCGGCACGCCGTGGTGGGGCAGCCCGCCTCCCTCAGCGTCACCACCAAGGACAAGGACGGCGAGCTGGTGCGCAGCGGCAGCGCCCGGCTCCGCTTCCAGGTGACCGCGCCGGACGGGGCCGCGGCCGAGGCCGAGGTGCAGGACAACAAGAACGGCACCTACGAGCTGCAGTACACGCCGCGCGCCGAGGGCGACTTCCTGCTCTCCATCCTGCTCTACGGGCAGCCCATCCGCGGCAGCCCCTTCCGCGCCCGCGCCGTCAAGGCCTCCGACGTGCCGCCCTCGCCCGACGACGTCAAGCGCCGCGTGAAGTCTCCCAGCAGCGCGGGGCACATCCGGCAGAAGGCCGTGCGCAGGCCCTCCAGCATGTACAGCACCGGCAAGAAGAAGGAGAACCCCATCGAGGACGAGCTCATCTTCCGTGTGGGTGAGCGCCAGCGCAGCGCCATTGACCGACGGTGGCTGACCTTGGCACCCGCTGAACACCATTGACTCACATTGACCACCGTTGACTCACATTGACCACCATTGACTCACATTGACCACCATTGACTGACATTGACCACCATTGACTCACATTGACCACCATTGACTCACATTGACCACCGTTGACTCACATTGACCACCATTGACTCACATTGACCACCGTTGACTCACATTGACCACCATTGACTCACATTGACCACCGTTGACTCACATTGACCACCATTGACTCACATTGACCACCATTGACTGACATTGACCACCATTGACTCACATTGACCACCATTGACTGACATTGACCACCATTGACTGACATTGACCACCATTGACTCACATTGACCACCATTGACTGACATTGACCACCATTGACTCACATTGACCACCGTTGACTGACATTGACCACCATTGACTGACATTGACCACTGTTGACTGCCTTTGACCCCCCCGGACACCCGTTGACCCCCATTGACCTCCCATTGACCCCCATTGACAACTATTGACAGCTATTAATAGCCATTGACCCCCACTGACACCCACTGATGCCTGTTGTCCCCTATTGATGCCCATCGACCTCTCTTGATCTCTGTTGACTCCACTGACCCTCCTTGACCTCCATTGACCCCCACTGACCCTCCTTGACCTCCATTGACCTCCCATTGACCCTCCTTGACCTCCACTGACCCCCACTGACCCTCCTTGACCTCCATTGACCCCCACTGACCCTCCTTGACCTCCATTGACTGTCCATTGACCCTCCTTGACCTCCATTGACCCCCACTGACCCTCCTTGACCTCCATTGACCCCCACTGACCCTCCTTGACCTCCCTTGACCCCCCATTGAGCCTCCTTGTCCTCTGTTGACTTCCATTGATGCCCACTGATACCCACTGACCTCTCTTGATCTCTGTTGTCCCCCATTGATGCCCCATTGAACCCTCCTGGCCACCCTTGATCTCCCATAGACCTCCCATTAAGCCCCATGACCCCACTGACTCCCATTAACCTTCCTTGACCTCCGTTTACCTCAACTGATGCCCGTTGAACCCTGTTGATCCCATTGACCCTTCCTGATCTCTATTGACTCCTCTTGACCCTTCTTGACACCTATTGATGCCCACTGCCCCCCATTGATACCCCTCAACCCCTTGACTCCCCTTGACCTTCCTTGAACCCCCTTGAGCCTATTGATGCCCACTGCCCCCCATTGACCCCCTGCCTCCCCCCGCCCGCAGGAAGCCGAGGCCGGGAGAAGGGCGAGTTTACCAACCTCCAGGGCATCTCCACTTCCTCCAGTGGCCGCATCGTGGTGGCCGACAGCAATAACCAGTGTGTGCAGGTGGGTCCCCCTATAGCCCCGGCCCCTCCATGTGTCCCCGACCCACTTAACCCTCCCCTGGGGACCCCCAAAAGGTGTTTTCCAACGAGGGTCAGTTCCGGCTGCGCTTCGGGGTGCGGGGCCGCTCTCCCGGTCAGCTCCAGCGCCCCACCGGTGTCACCGTCGACATGAACGGGGACATCATCATCGCCGACTACGACAACCGCTGGGTCAGCATCTTCTCCCCCGAGGGCAAGTTCAAGGTGAGGTGAGGGGGGGACAGCAGCGGGAGGGACACAGCAGGGGGACAGGGCTCTGCACCAACCCTGACCCCTGGCCCTGTTCCCGTCCCAGACCAAGCTGGGTGCCGGGCGGCTGATGGGCCCCAAGGGCGTTGCGGTGGATCGCAACGGGCACATCATCGTGGTGGACAACAAGGCCTGCTGCGTCTTCATCTTCCAGTCCAACGGCAAACTGGTCACCAAGTTCGGCAGCCGTGGCACAGCCGAGCGGCAGTTCGCAGGTACGAGCCACAGCCCTGCTGTGCTCCTCACCACGTGCTCCTCAATGCGTGCCCATCCCCACATGTCCACCACCATGTGTCCATCACCACGTGTCCATCCCCATGTGTCCATCCCCACGTGCCCATCACCACATGCCCATCCTCATGTGCCCATCACCACCTGCCTGTCCCCATGTGCCCATCCCCATGTGCCCATCACCACGTGCCCATCACCACGTGCCCATCCCCACGTGCCCATCACCACGTGCCCATCCCCACGTGCTCTTCAATGCATGTCCATCCCCATGTGCCCGTCACCACGTGCTCCTCAATGCGTGTCCATCCCCACGTGCCCATCCCCATGTGCCCATCACCATGTGCCCATCCCCACGTGTCTTTCCCCATGTGTCCATCCCCATGTATCCATCCCCACCTGCCCATCACCACGTGCCCATCCCCACGTGCCCGTCCCCATGTGCCCATCCCCACGTGCCCGTCCCCACCTGCCCATCACCACGTGCCCATCACTTTGTGCCCCTCACCATGTGCTCCTCAGTGCGTGCTCTGGGCAGCCCTGGACAGCAGCGGGGCAGGGGCAGGGGCTGCAGCTGGGCTCAGGGTCCAAGCTCAAGTTGTGAGCTCTGGATTCAGTTTCTGGGCTCAGGCTCTTGGTGGTTCTGGGCTGGGTTCCAGCTGCGGTTCAGGGCTCAGGCTCAGAGTCAGATTCTGGGCTGGGATTTGGGTTCATGGTTTAGGGTCTGTTCGTGCCTCTGGGTTTGGGCTGTTTCGAGCCCCGGGCTCAGGTCTGGGCTCTGTTGGGTCTCTGGGTCTTGCTGTGTCCCCCACAACCACCCTTGGCTGCCCATGGGACTCATTCACTGTCCCTGCCCCCCCAGGGCCCCACTTTGTGGCCGTCAACAACAAGAATGAGATCGTGGTGACCGACTTCCACAACCACTCTGTGAAGGTGAGGAATGGTGTCCGGTATGCCATGTGCCATGTCCTGTGTGCCGTGTGCCATGTCCTGTGTCCTGTGTGCCGTGTCCTGTGTGCCATGTCCTGCGTGCCGTGTCCTGTGTGCCGTGTCCTGTGTGCCGTGTCCTGTGTGCCGTGCACCATGTCCTGTGTCCTGTGTGCCGTGTCCTGTGTCCCGTGTCTTGCACGCCATGTGATGCATGCCATGTTCTGCATCCCGTGTCCCATGTGCCACATCACGTGTGATGTGTTCTCGGCACGGCGTGCCATGTACCATGTGCCACGTACCATGTCCCCATGTCCCATGTGCTGTGCCCTGTGTCGCACATCCTGCATCCCATGTCCCGTGTGCCGGTGCCAGTGCCGTGTCCCATGTCCCATGTGCCGGTGCCAGTGCCGTGTCCCATGTCCCGTGTGCCGCTGCCAGTGCCGTGTCCCATGTCCCATGTGCCGGTGCCAGTGCCGTGTCCCATGTCCCATGTGCCGGTGCCAGTGCCGTGTCCTGTGTCCTGTGTGCCGGTGCCAGTGCCGTGTCCCGTGTCCCATGTGCGGTGCTGGTGCCGTGTCCCGTGTCCCATGTGCGGTGCTGGTGCCGTGTCCCGTGTCCCATGTGCGGTGCTGGTGCTGGTGCCGGGCAGTGACCCCCCTCCAGGTTTACAGCGCAGATGGCGAGTTCCTGTTCAAGTTTGGCTCTCACGGGGAGGGCAATGGCCAGTTCAACGCCCCCACCGGGGTGGCCGTGGATGCCAACGGCAACATCATCGTGGCCGACTGGGGCAACAGCCGCATCCAGGTACTGACCCTCTGGCCCCGCACTCACCTGCATCCCTGTGCTCATCCCAGCCTCATCCCTGTCCTCATCCCATCACCCTCATCCCAGTTTCATCCCTGTCCTCATCCCATCACCCCCATCCCAGCCTCATCCCTATCCTCATCCCGTCAATACCATCCCTGTCCTCATCCTATCACCCCCATTCCTGTCCTCATCCCATCACCCCCATCCCAGCTTCATCCCTGTTCTCATCCCATCAATACCATCCCTGTCCTCATCCCTGTCCTCATCCCATCACCCCCATCCCAGCCTCATCCCTGTCCTCATCCCATCACCCTCATCCCAGCCTCATCCCTGTCTTCATCCCATCACCCCCATCCCAGCCTCATCCCTGTCTTTTGTTTGTTTTTGTTTGTTTCATCCCATCACCCCCCTCCCAGCCTCATCCCTGTCCTCATCCCATCACCCCCATCCCAGCCTCATCCCTGTCTTCATCCCATCACCCCCATCCCAGCCTCATCCCTGTCCTCATCCCATCAATACCATCCCTGTCCTCATCCCATCCCAGCCTCATCCCTGTCCTCATCCCATCACCCCCATCCCAGCCTCATCCCTGTCCTCATCCCATCACCCCCATCCCAGCTTCATCCCTGTCCTCATCCCATCAATACCATCCCAGCCTCATCCCATCACCCCCATCCCAGCCTCATCCCTGTCCTCACCCCATCCTTCAGCCCATCCAGGGATGGGGTTTGTGGCCCCAGAGTGGGCTCACGGCAGCAGGGACTCGGTCCAGGACGCCCTGGCAGGGGTGCCCATGGAGCTAGGGTTTGCCTGGGCTCTGGGGACACTGGGGGGCACTGGGGCCTGTCCCTGTCCCTGCAGGTGTTTGACTCCTCGGGCTCCTTCCTGTCCTACATCAACACAGCCGCGGATCCTCTGTACGGGCCGCAGGGCCTGGCCCTCACCTCCGATGGCCACGTCGTGGTGGCAGACTCGGGCAACCATTGCTTCAAGGCCTATCGCTACCTGCAGTAGCACCGCGGCACAGGCTGGGGCCGCCCCATGGCACGGGCTGGGGCCGCCCCATGGCACGGGCTGGGGCTGCCCCACAGATGCCGCCCCGGCCTTCACGTGCACTTTATCTGGGGTCCACGGTCGTGCCCCTCCTCCTGCCCCATGGCAGGGCCACAGCCCCACAACTGGGGGACCTGGGGGGGGCTGAGGGAGCCGCTGCTGGGGGCTAAGGGGCGGCCGTGGGTTGCCCCATGGGAGCTGCCCCCCGTGGCTTGAGCCCCACATGTGGGGCGACCACACGTGCCTGCTGCCCCACGGTGGGGTTCTGTGGGTCCTGGTGGGGCTTGGTGAAGCCCTGTGGGGCCGAGTGGGGCCTGGTGGGTCCATGTGGGGCTCTATGGGGTCGGTGGATCTCTATGGGGCTTGGTGGGGCTCTGTGGGTCTCTATGGGGCTCTGTGGGTCTCCATGGGGCTCTGTGGGTCTCTATGGGGCTCTGTGGGGCAGCCGCACGCTGACAAACTCTATGTACAAAATAAAGTATTCTGGAAGTACCCCCAGCAGTGCCAGCCCCATGGCGGGGGGGATGTGGGGCTAGGGGGGGTCTCCACCTTCACTGGGCATCACTGGGGTGAAGCCAGGGGTGGGGGTCCTGTACTGGGGTGACCACATAAGGACTCCCAGGCTGCACTGGGCTGCACGTGGCTGTATTGGGCTGCACTGGGCTACACAGGGCTGTACTGGGCTGCACGAGGCTGTATTGGGCTGTACTAGGCTGCATAGGGATGTACTGCGCTGCACAGGGCTGTACTGGGCTGCGCTGAGCTACACTGGGCTGCACAGGGCTGCACTGGGCTACACAGGGCTGTACTAGGCTACACAGGGCTGTACTAGGCTGCAGAGGTCTGTACTGGGCTGTACTGGCCTGCAGAGGTCTGTACTGGGCTGCACTGGGCTGTACTGGGCTGCACTGGGCTGTACTGGGCTGCACTGGGCTGCACTGGGCTGTACTGGGCTGTACTGGGCTGCTGCACTGGGCTGTACTGGGCTGCACTGGGCTGCTGCACTGGGCTGGTCTGTGCTGTGCGTCCCCACACGTGTGGACTAGGACGAGCAGTTCAGTGAATGGAGCAGTGACTGCAGACGGCGGCGATGACGAAGAGGATGGAGATGGTGGCGATGATGAGGATGATGATGGAGACAACGGGGATGATGAGGATGGAGGCGATGGAGACAACGGAGACGATGAGGATGATGGAGATGATGGAGATGATGGAGATGATGGAGATGATGAGGATGATGATGGAGACAACGGGGATGATGAGGATGGAGGTGATGGAGACAACGGAGATGATGAGGATGATGGAGATGATGGAGATGGTGGTGATGATGAGGATGATGATGGAGACAACGGAGATGATGAGGATGATGGAGATGATGGAGGTCACAATATGACCTCAGTGACGTGGGTCTGGGACCAGTGCATGGAGCCCCTGGAACTCTGGGGATGGACCCACTCCTGCCGCGGTGCCCAATGCACAGCCCCAAACCCCTGGGGGGCCCTGGCCCTGCCCGGCCCCTCCGGTGAACCCAGGTTCTGCCCCAGGGACGGGCTGCGGAGCACAGCGGCCTTTGGCTGGGTTGGGTCCGGTCTCGGTCCCTGCCCCTGCCCCTGTCCCCGTCCGTGTCCCTGCCCCTATCCCCGTCCCCGTCCCTGTCCCCGTCCCTATCCCTGTCCCTGTCAGGTCCCGGCCGCTCTGGCTCCTGGTGCCGCTCCCGCTGCAGAGCTGGAGCCACCGCACAGCGCGGGCGGGGTGAGCGCTGCTGAGCGACAACCGGACACCGGGGCGGCAACGGCAGCACCGCGGGGGAGCCCGGTCCCGCACACAGCGACCCCAGCCGGGCTGTGCCGGGCTCTGCTGCGTCCGGCTGGGCTCTGAGCGGCTGTGAGCGGCTGTGCGGGGCTCTGCGGGGCTGCACCGGGCTGTGCGGGGCTGTGCGGGGCTGTGCGGGGCTGCACCGGGCTGTGCGGGGCTGTGCGGGGCTGTGCGGGGCTGTACCGGGCTGTGCGGGGCTGTACGGGGCTGTACCGGGCTGTGAGCGGCTGTGCGGGGCTGTACCGGGCTGTACCGGGCTGTGCGGGGCTGTACCGGGCTGTGCGGGCTGTACCGGGCTGTGAGCGGCTGTGCGGGCTGTACCGGGCTGTGAGCGGCTGTGCGGGGCTGTACCGGGCTGTACCGGGCTGTACCGGGCTGTGCGGGGCTGTACCGGGCTGTACCGGGCTGTGCGGGGCTGTACCGGGCTGTGCGGGGCTGTACCGGGCTGTGCGGGGCTGTACCGGGCTGTGAGGGGCTGTACCGGGCTGTACCGGGCTGTGCGGGGCTGTACCGGGCTGTGAGGGGCTGTACCGGACTGTACCGGGCTGTGCGGGCTGTACTGGGCTGTGCGGCTGGGCTGCCCTGTGCTGCTGCTACCTGTGCTGTGCTGTGCCCTGGTGCTGTGCCCTGGTGCTGTGCCCTGGTGCTGTGCTCTGGTGCTGTACCCTGGTGCTGTGCCCTGGTGCTGTGCTCTGGTGCTGTGCCCTGGTGCTGTGCCCTGGTGCTGTGCCCTGGTGCTGTGCCCTGGTGCTGTGCCCTGGTGCTGTGCTGTGCCCTGGTGCTGTGCCCTGGTGCTGTGCTGTGCCCTGGTGCTGTGCTGTGCTGTCCCGTCTGTCCCATCTGTGCCCTGCCACAATCCCCCATGCTGCTCTGTCCCATCCGTGTCACACCAGACCTGTCAGTGCCATGTGGGGCTGTGCCGCACTGCACTGCTCCAGTGCACTCCCTGCCGCCCTGTGCCACACACACCACGCATGCTCTAGTATGCTGGGCCATCCTGTCCCATGCCATGCTGGTGCACTCCCTGCCGCCCTGTGCCACACACACCATGCATGCTCTAGTATGCTGGGCCATCCTGTCCCATGCCATGCTGCACTGCTCCAGTGCACTCCCTGCCTCCCTGTGCCACACACACCATGCATGCTCTAGTATGCTGGGCCATCCTGTCCCATGCCATGCTGGTGCACTCCCTGCCTCCCTGTGCCACACACACCATGCATGCTCTAGTATGCTGGGCCATCCTGTCCCAGTGCACTCCCTGCCTCCCTGTGCCACACACACCATGCATGCTCTAGTATGCTGGGCCATCCTGTCCCATGCCATGCTGCACTGCTGCTCCACACCCCGGCTGTGCTGGCCTGTGCCCCACCACGCTCTGCTGCCTCGCTGCACTGTGGTCTGCGCTGTCCCATCCTGCTCCATCCTGCGCTGTGCTGGGTGGAACAATCCCTCCCTGTGCCCGTACTGGTGTCACTCCTGCACCGTACTGGTACTGGTACCAGTGTCACTGGGAGGGGGACAGGAGGGACTGCGGCCAGATGGGGATGAGGACAATGAGGATGAACTTGAGGATGGATGTGGGATGCAGAGAATGAGATGGATGATGACAAGGAGGAGGATGAAGATGGGGATGAGGTTGATGCTGATGAGGAGGTGCTGGGTCTGTCACACCTTTATTGATGGCACATGGCAATGGGGTGTCCCATGTCGCCGCCCTGGTACCCAGTCCCAGCACTCAAAAGAGCCCCACGCCCCGTGTCTTGCATCCCACATCCTGCATCCCATGGCTGAACACCGTTACTCAGCAGAGCCCCATGTCCTGTGTCCTGTATCCCATGGCCTGCACCCCACACCCCACGTCTCAGCACTCAGCAGAGCCCCATGTCCTGTGTCCTGTATCCCATGGCCCGCACCCCACACCCCACGTCTCAGCACTCAGCAGAGCCCCATGTCCTGTGTCCTGTATCCCATGGCCCGCACCCCACACCCCGCATCTCAGCACTCAGCAGAGCCCCCTGTCCTGTGTCCTGTATCCCATGGCCCGCACCCCACAGCCCACGTCTCAGCACTCAGCAGAGCCCCATGTCCTGTGTCCTGTATCCCATGGCCCGCACCCCACACCCCACACCCCGCATCTCAGCACTCAGCAGAGCCCCATGTCCTGTGTGCCACATCGTGGTGCTCAGCAGAGCCGCCGCTGCCGCCAGAGCTGCTGGATGCGTGCGAAGGGCAGTGTGGGGCGCAGGGGCCGGCAGAGGCCGGGATCATCCGAGCGGCCGGAGCGCAGGGCGCAGAGCAGCGCAGCCTTGCAACCGGCCCCACACGGCGCCCGCGGGGGGTGGCCCTTGTGCAGCAGGAACCAGAAGCGCTGGAAGAGCCGCTCGTCATCCTGGAAGCGCCGGAGCAGCCGGTCCCAGTCGGCCGGGAAGGCACTGGGCAGCCCGTAGGTCTCACGCGCACGGTACAGGCGCTGCCAGCGCGGCACGGCCCCCGGAGCATTGGCCTCCGTCAGGTTCAGGATGAAGGTCTCGTGGTCCAGTACCGCGTGGGAGCTGCCGGGGTAGGCGCCATCCACCACGTACACGCGGTAGCCTGTGGGCACAGACATGGGCATTGGCACGGTCAGGGTCAAATGTAGTGGGCACGGTCAAGGTTCCACCACGTACACGCGGTAGCCTGTGGGCATAGACATGGGCATTGGCACGGTCAGGGTCAAATGTAGTGGGCACGGTCAAGGTAAGGATCATGCTCAAGGTCATGACCAATGGGTGTGATGGTCAAGGTAATGGACATTGTCAAGGTAATGGTCATAGTAAAGGTAACGGCAATGGTCATGGCCAGTGGTCGTGGTCAAGGCCATGGCTATAATCAAGGTAACGGTCATAGTAAAGGTAACGGCAATGGTCACGGCCAATGGTCGTGGTCAAGGCCATGGCTATAATCAAGGTAATGATCATGGCCAACAGTCAAGGTCACAGTCAATGTCAAGGCACGGCCACGACCACGCGGCGGCACCACGGGGGCGCGTTGAGGGTTCGGCACACACCGGGGTTGAGGTTGATGTAGGTGGTGACACTCGGGGCTATGAAGGCGATGGACACGGGCCGGCTCAGCGTCTCCTCGTCGTAGAACATCTCGAACTCATCCACGTGTGTGTGGCCGAAGAACTGCCCCGCGATGGTGCCCTCGAACCTGCACCGGGACACGGGTGACACAGGGACCCCACAGCAGGGCCTGGCCCCGGCACAGCCCCCTCTGACTGCCGGCACCTGCTGACGATGCGGTAGTAGTTCCAGCTCCAGCTCCGCAGGCAATGGCCCGGGGGGATGTGCCCAATGATGTGCACCTACAGCAAGGAGAGGGGAGCCGGGGGGTGCTGGGATCCGCTGGGGGCAAGGACCCCCCCCCAGGGCCCATCCCCATCCCAACCTTGTCCCCTGCGCGCTCAGCGGCTGCCAGGACCCCCACGAGCCACTGGAGCTGCCCTGCGGGGTCGGTGGCATTGATGAGGAGCCAGAAGTTGGCCTGGGAGCAGAAGTTCATGTTGAGGGACACCAGGCGCAGCCCCGGCCAGACCTGGGCCGTGTAGAACCCCCCGGCCCTGGGGGGGACAGCGGGGCATGAGCGGGGGCCCCCCCTGCCCCACAGTAATGCCCCTGATTCACAGAGACCCCCCTGCCCCACAGTGACCCCTCTGTGCCCAGCCTGAGCCCCCCAAAACACCGTTAGCCTGGGACCCCCTTAGCACAGAAACTGCTCTGCGCCCTCCCACCCCAGAGCCTCCCCACTGAACTCCACATCTCCCCCAGCCCAGGTCCCTCACCCCTCCTAAGGTCAGGACTCACCCCTGCATGCCCAGACTGAACTCCCCCAGCCCCATGTCCCCCAGTCCTTCCCCGCCTGGAATCCCCCAGCCCAGGTCCCCTGTTGTGCCCCCATCTCACCCCCCCATCCCATCCCCATCCCCTTCCCCATCCCCATCCCCATCCCCATCCCATCCCCTTCCCCATCCCCATCCCCATCCCCATCCCCATCCCATCCCCATCCCCATCCCCATCCCCATCCCCATCCCATCCCCATCCCATCCCATCCCCATCCCCTCCCCATCCCCATCCCCATCCCCATCCCCATCCCCATCCCATCCCCATCCCCATCCCCATCCCCATCCCCATCCCCATCCCCTTCCCCATCCCCATCCCCATCCCCATCCCTCTCCATCCCCATCCCCATCCCCATCCCCTTCCCATCCCCATCCCCATCCCCATCCCCATCCCATCCCCATCCCCATCCCCTTCCCCTTCCCCATCCCCATCCCCATCTCATCCCCCATCCCCATCCCCATCCCCATCCCCCCATCCCCATCCCCATCCCACCCCCATCCCCATCCCCATCCATCCCCATCCCCATCCCATCCCCATCCCCATCCCCATCCCCATCCCCATCCCCATCCCCATCCCCATCCCCATCCCCATCCCCATCTACCCCCCCATCCCCATCCCCTTCCCATCCCCATCCCATCCCCATCCCATCCCCATCCCCATCCCCATCCCCATCCCCATCCCCATCCCCATCCCCCATCCCCATACCCCCATCTCCATCTCCACCTCCCCATCTCCATCCCCATCTGCCCATCCCCATCCCCCATCCCCATCCCATCCCCATCCCCATCCCCATCCCCTCCCCATCCCCATCCCCATCCCATCCCCTTCCCCATCCCCATCCCCATCCCCATCCCATCCCCATCCCCATCCCATCCCGTCCCGTGTCCCACCGCAGGGTCTGCAGCGCCTCAGGGCTCAGCCACTGCTGCCATTCCCGGGCCATGGCATCGTAGAGCCACGCTGCCGACTGGTTGCCCCGGACGTACGGGGGGGGAAAGGCGTTCACCGGCGTGGCCTCGTGGTTGCCCACGGCCGGGAACACGGGCACGGTGCCGAGGCGCCGCCGCAGCGCCGCGGTGACGGTGCTGAGGGCGCGCAGCTGGTCCCGCCGGCTCTGCTGCCACACGTCGTGCGCCGGGATGTCCCCGGTCCAGTACACGGCGGCCACGGGCGCGGCGGCGGGGAGCTGCTCCAGCAGCAGCTCGATGGTGCGCAGAGGAAGGTCGCACTTCCCGTACTCCCCCCAGAAGCCGGCGCCGGGGGCCCCGGGACGCGCGGCCCCGCGGCAGCAGAGCGGGTCGGGGCAGGCGGCGGCGCTGCCGGGCGCGTAGAGCCGGTCCCAGTGCAGGTCCGTGAGGAACAGGATGCGCGCACTGGGAGCGCCCGGCGCCGGCGGCTCCGGCGGCCGCACCGGCGGCTTCGGGGTGTCCGGCAGGGACACGTTCCAGTCGCCCAGGATGTCCCAGTGGCCGCAGCGGGGCCCCAGCAGCAGCCCGCAGGCCTCGGCCGGCCGCAGCACCGAGCGCGCCCAGGCAGACACCACGTCCCGCTGGAAGAGCTGCACGGCCTCGCGGCAAACCTCCGCTCGGGCCAGGCGCAGGTCCTGGCACAGCCGCGACGCCACGTGCCCCACGCGCGACACCGTGGGCTCCAGCTGCGGGGACACGGGACCCGTCACCAGACTGCCATCACCCAGGGGATGCCATCACCCAGGGGATGCCATCACCCAGGGGATGCCATCACCCAATGGATGCCATCACCCAGGGGATGCCATCACCCAGGGGATGCCATCACCCAATGGATGCCATCACCCAGGGGATGCCATCACCCAGGGGATGCCATCACCCAATGGATGCCATCACCCAGGGGATGCCATCACCCAGGGGATGCCATCACCCAATGGATGCCATCACCCAGGGGATGCCATCACCCAGGGGATGCCATCACCCAATGGATGCCATCACCCAGGGGATGCCATCACCCAGGGGATGCCATCACCCAATGGATGCCATCACCCAGGGGATGCCATCACCCAGGGGATGCCATCACCCAATGGATGCCATCACCCAGGGGATGCCATCACCCAGGGGATGCCATCACCCAATGGATGCCATCACCCAGGGGATGCCATCACCCAGGGGATGCCATCACCCAATGGATGCCATCACCCAGGGGATGCCATCACCCAGGGGATGCCATCACCCAATGGATGCCATCACCCAGGGGATGCCATCACCCAGGGGATGCCATCACCCAATGGATGCCATCACCCAATGGATGTCATCACCCAGGGGATGTCATCACCCAATGGATGTCATCACCCAATGGATGTCACCACTCAATGGATGCCACCACCCAGGGGATGTCATCACCCAGGGGATGTCATCACCCAATGGATGCCATCACCCAATGGATGCCATCACCCAATGGATGTCACCACTCAATGGATGCCATCACCCCCAATGCAGCAGTGGCCACCATGAGCCCCTTGGCTTGGAATCCCAGTGCTGGGGGACCCCAGTCCCTCTGTCCCCAGTTCCTGTTCCAGGGAAGGAGCCTGTGCCTGACCTGGCACTGTCTCTCTGTGTGGAGCCATCCCCGTCCCCATCCCCATTCCATTCCCATGCCCATCCCGGTCCTGTGCCTGTCACAATCCATGATGTGTTCCATCCCTGTCCTGACTCCTGACCCCCTCCCCATACTGTCTGTCCCTGTCCCCCTCCCAGTGCCACTGTCCCTGTCCAGGTCCTGGTGCCTCTGCTCCGTCCCTGTCTCTGTCCCTATACCAGGGACCCCGCTGTCGGTGCCCCCTCCCTGCCCCTGTCCCCATCCCCTCTGTCCCTGTCCCGTCCCTGATCCCGCCCCTGTTCCAGTCCCTGTTCCCATCCCTGTCCCGTGCCTGTCACAAGTCAGCGTCTGGGCCCCGTCACGAGGTCCCGGCTCGTCCTCACCCGTCCCTGCTCCGCCTCCCGCTCCCGCTCCAGCCCCGCTCCATCCCGTCCCGTCTGTCCCCGCCCTTGTCCGTGTCCCCATCCCCTGCCGGTCCCGGAGCCCCGCTCTCTCCCTGTCCTCTTCCCATCCTTGTCCCCTCCCCCGTCCCCGTCTCGGTCCCGCTGCCCCCGTCCTGTTGCCCCCGGCCCGTCCCTGTCCCCATTTTGGTCCCGTCCCACCCCTCCCGCCCCGTCCCCGCCCCTGTCCCCGTCCCGCTTCCGGTGCCCCCGTCCCAGTCCCTGTCTCTGACCCCAGACCCGGTGCCCCCGTCCCTGTCCCCATTCCGGTGCGCCCGGTCCCAGTGTCCCCGTCCCGGTGCCGCCCCTGTTGGCCCAGTCTCAGACCCGGTGGTCCCACAACTGTCCCCCTTGTGCCGGTGCCCTTGACCCGCTGTCCCGGTTCCAGTCCTCCTGCCCCGTTCCCGTTCCCGTTTCTGTTCTCGTCCCCGTTCTCGACCCGCCCCGTCCCCATCCCCGTTCCCCCCCACCTGCAGCGCCACGTCCAGCGCCCCGAACAGCGCCCGGCAGACGGGGCACGACACGTTCCGCCAGCCCCAGCGAGGCGCCACTGCCAGCAGCGGGTCCTGAGGCCCCGCCGACACTGGCGGCAGCGCCAACAGCGCCAGCGCCAGCGCCAGGGCCGCGACCAGAGACCAGGACCGCGGCCGGGGCCGCGCCGGGGCCGCCATGGCCCAGGGACGCCGCCGCCGGGGGGGGGGGTGGGTGCTCCGGTGATAGGGGGCGGGGCTTCCGCTGACAGAGGGCGGAGACTCGGGGGCGTGGCGGGAGCTACGGTGCCCCGGGGCATTGTGGGAAATGCAGTCCAGCAGCGGCTGAGTGGGATGGCGCTCCCTGGCGGGCGGGAGGTGTTACTGCACGTGTGCAGGTATGTGGCTGTGTGAAACATGCATGACACATGTATGTCACATGTGTGTGCGGGAGGTGTCCGCTCCCGCTGGACACGGTGCGGCCGGAGCCACCGGGAGGGAAGGGAGTTCTGGTAGGACACATGGCTGGAAACACGCGGTGCATCCCAGTGCCGGTGCAGTGTCTGTCCCATACGGACCCACGACCCCTGCTGCGGGCTCCCCATCCCACCCCGTCCCCAGGCCCCTGGTACTGGCTGTGCTGGGCACAGTGGGAAGCATCGGCACAGGGCGAGTTTATTCCAGCCGGAGCCAGGATCAGTGTGGGGGGACCTGGAGCTGGGCTGGGGGCTCCAGAACCCCCAAACCCTGAACTACCAACCTGGGGCAGGGGTGGAATGGGGTGGGAATGGGGATGAGACAAGATGAGGATGGGGATAGGGATGGGGTGAGATGGAATGGGAGGGGATGGGGATGAGGACAAGCATGGGGATAGAGATGGGGATGAGATTGTGGATAGGGATGCTGCCGGTGCTGTCAGTGTTGCTGGTGCTCATGGGGGGCCGATGCTGCTGACCGTGGTGTAGCTGAACTTGGAGAGTGAGGCGCTGGTGGCGGCAGCGGCCGTCTCGTCGTGGAGCGCACGGCGCGGGCAGGCTCGGTGCCGGCAGCAGCACGTGGCCAGGAACGCGGCGCGGAACCGCCGGTTCATAAAGCAGTAGATGAGGGGGTTGGCGCAGGCTGAGGTGTAGGACAGGAGGTGGATGAAGGCGATGGGCGTCCCCGAGAGCGCCCGCTGAGCTGCGCGCGGGCTGAACGCGCGCCACGTGTTGGCCGAGAAGATGGGCAGCCAGCACAGGAAGAACATGGCCACGATCACCACCAGCATGCGGATCACGCGCCGCTTGGCCACCAGCTTGGCCTCTGAGCTGTTGACGCGTGCACGGTCCTGCTGCGCGCCCAGCGCCCTCAGCTCCAGTGCAGCGCCCGGCCGGGACAGCTGCAGGTAGCACCCATCACCCTCGTCACAGGCCGGGGATGCCTCGTCCCCGGCACCACCATGGTGAGCTGTGGGGCAGGAGGGACACGGTCGTGGCCATGGCACCGTGGGGACCCAGTGGGGTCTGTGTGAGCGGCCCCTCACCTGCGGCCTCGCCTTTGATGTCCAGCTCGAAGCGGATGCCCCGGTAGAGCTCGCGGGATATGAGCCCGTAGGCCACCATCATCACCACACCCGGGATGAAGAACAGGATGAGGAGCAGCAGGATGTACCTGGGGGCGCAGGACCACTCGTGCCTCATCCCATCCCCATGCTCATCCCCACCTCATCTCATTCCCTCCCATATCGTTCTGTCCCTATCTGATCCCATCTAGTCCGCAACTCATCCCATCCCCATCCTAACTCTCCCCCATCCCATCCTGTCCCCATCCCATCTCATATTATCCCATCCCGTTCCCAATTTACTCCACCTCATCCCCATCCCATTCCCATCTCATCCTGCTCCCGTTGCCCCCCCTGCTCCATGCGCCCACCCCTGCACGCGGCTCTCACCAGCCCTGGCGCACGTGCTCGCTGGGCCAGCGGTGGGTGCACTGGGTGGTGAGCGGGCGCACGCCCCGCGCCGCCGAGCGCGTGGTGCTGTACACGGCGTAGGGCACCATGAGCAGCGCCGCCGCCAGCCACGTGCCCGCGATGACGCGACAGGCGTGGGAGCGCGTCTGCCAGGCCCGCGACTGCAGCGGCTTGCAGATGGCGCTGTAGCGCTCCAGCGCGATGGCCACCAGGCTGAACGTGGACACCGACACCGACACCCCTGCGGCACCGCATGGGCAGCGCCTCAGCGGCGTCACCCGCTCCAGCCAGCGCCACCCAACTGTGTCCCCATGGCCCCCTCTGGCGCTGGGCACGAGGGGGGTCACTCGCTGGCTTTGGCCAACGCTCCCAGGCCCTTTTCATGTCCCCTGGCTGGAGCCTTCCGTGGGGCTGTTGCAGCCCAAGTGCAGGACCAGGCACTTTGCTTCTTGAACCTCATCCCATTGGCTTCATCCCATGCATCCAGACCCTCTGTGGAACCTCCTCCCCTCCAGCAGCTCAAAGCTCCCACCCAGCTTGGTGTCATCTTCACATTGACCACGGATGCCCTCAATCCCCTCATCCCAACCATTGCTAAAATGTCAAACAAGCAGGAGGCAGCATCCCGTCCCATCCCCATCCCACCCCTCCCATCCCATCTCATCCCACCCCATCCCATCCCACCCCTCTCATCCCATCTCATCCCACCCCTCTCATCCCATCTCATCCCATCCCATCCCCATCCCACCCCTCCCATCCCATCCCATCCCATCCCATCCCCATCCCACCCCTCTCATCCCATCTCATCCCATCCCATCCCCATCCCACCCCTCCCATCCCATCCCATCCCATCCCATCCCCATCCCACCCCTCTCATCCCATCCCATCCCATCCCATCCCCATCCCACCCCTCTCATCCCCATCCCACCCCTTCATCCCATCTCATCCCATCCATCCAATTCCCATCCATTCCATCCCCCTCTCATCCCATCCCATCCCATCCCTCTCATCCCATCTCATCCCATCCCATCCCCATCCCACCCCTCTCATCCATCCATCCATCCCATCCCATCCCCATCCCACCCCTCTCATCCCATCTCATCCCTTCACATCACATCACATCCCATCCCATCCCATCCCATCCCATCCCATCCCATCCCACCCCTCTCATCCCATCTCATCCCACCCCATCCCCATCCCACCCCTCTCATCCCATCTCATCCCTTCACATCACTCCCCATCCCCTCCCATCCCATCCCTCCCATCCCATCCCTCTCATCCCATCCCTTCCCATCTCATCCCACCCTTTCCCATCCCCTCTCATCCCCCTTGATCCCCACCCACCCCATCTCATCTCGTCCTCATCCCAGCCCATCCCAGCCCATCCCATCCCAGCCCGCGCTCGCGGCGCTGCTGTACCCATGAGGTAAGCCATGAGCTTGCAGATGGCCTCCCCGAAGACGAAGGAGCCCATGATGGCGGGCAGGAGGCTGAAGGGCATGCAGCACAGCGCCAGGAGCAGGTCGCTCAGCGCCAGCGACAGCAGGAAGCAGTTGGTGACGGTGCGCAGGCGCCGGTTGGCCACCAGCACGGCCACCACCAGTGCGTTCCCCCCGACGCTCAGCGCGAAGATCAGCCCATAGAGCAGCACCCGCAGTGCCACGTCCAGCTCTGGCCGTGCCACCGCAGCCAGGGCACCGGGGCATCGGGACAACCAGAACAGAGCATCAGCCCCAGTAACCAGGACACAGTGTCAGCCAGGGCACCGGGGCATCGGGACAACCAGAACACAGCATCAGCCCCAGTAACCAGGACACAGTGTCAGCCAGGGCACCGGGGCATCGGGACAACCAGAACAGAGCACCAGTCCCAGTAACCAGGACACAGTGTCAGCCAGGGCACTGCATCAGCTGGCCGGGGCATCGGGACAACCAGAACAGAGCATCAGCCCCAGTAACCAGGACACAGTGTCAGCCAGGGCACCGCATCAGCTGGCCAGGGCATCGGGACAACCAGAACAGAGCATCAGCCCCAGTAACCAGGACACAGTGTCAGCCAGGGCACCGCATCAACTGGCCGGGGCATTGGGACAACCAGAACAGAGCATCAGCCCCAGTAACCAGGACACTGCATCAACTGGCCGGGCCATCGGGACAACCAGAACAGAGCATCAGCCCCAGTAACCAGGACACAGTGTCAGCCAGGGCACTGCATCAACTGGCTGGGGCACCGGGGCATTGGGACAACCAGAACACAGCATCAGCCCCAGTAACCAGGACACAGTGTCATCCAGGGCACCGGGGCATCGGGACAACCAGAACACAGCATCAGCCCCAGTAACCAGGACACAGTGTCATCCAGGGCACCGCGTCGACTGGCCGGGGCATCGGGACAACCGGGACACAGTCAGCCAGGGCAGGCACCGGGAGTGAATTGGGGCGTGCTGGGGTGCACGGGAAATGCAGCAGGGGGCCCTGGGAGAACACTGGGATGCACCAGGGGGCACCCGAAGGCACGGGGAATGCACCGATAGGCACAGCAGCATGCACCAGGAGGCACCGGGAAAGACCGGGAGGCGTCAGCAAGCACTGGAAAGCAGCGGGAGGCACCGGGAAGCAATGGGGGGTGCATTGGGGTGCACCAATAGGCACCGCAGCATGCATTAAGATGCACCAGGAGGCACTGGGAGACGCAGGGAGCACACGGGTGCAGCAGGAGGCACGGAAACATGCACGGGGAAGCACCGGGAAACACAGGGAGTGCACCGGGATGCATGGGATGGGGACCGGGGCCGGGGTGATGCAGCGGGGCTGGGGCTGCAGCGGGGTGAGCAGCGGGGGGAACCGCGGGCATAGAGCAGGCGGATGGGAGGCACCGGGGGGCACCGGCAGGCACAGCTGCATGCACCGGGGGGCACCGCGGGTGCAGGGGAGTACAGCGGTGGGAACAGAGAATGCACCGGGAGGCACAGCAGATGCATTGGGATACACCGGGGGGCACTGGGAGGAACGACGGGAAGCATTGGAGTGCACTGGGAGGTACGGTGGGGTGCACCGGGAAGCCCCAGCAGGAACAGCAGGGTGAACCGGGAAACACCGGGAGGCAAGGCAGGATGCATGGGGATGCATCAGGAGGCAGGGTGGGATGCACCGGGAAGTACCGGCGGCGTAGCGGGTTGTACTGGGATGCACCGGGAAGCACCGGGAGGAACGGCGGGATGCACCGGGAGGTATCGGCGGCATAGCGGGATGCATTGGGATGCACCGGGAAGCCCCGGGAGGAACGGCGGGATACACCGGGAAGCACCGGCAGCATAGCGGGATGTATTGGGATGCACAGGGAAGCCCCGGGAGGAACGGCGGGATGCACAGGGAAGTACCGGAGGCACAGCGCAATGCATTGGGATGCACCGGGAAGCCCCGGGAGGAACGGCGGGATGCACCGGGAGGTACCGGCGGCGTAGCGGGATGCATTGGGATGCACCGGGAAGCCCCGGGAGGAACGGCGGGATGCACCGGGAGGTATCGGCGGCACAGCGCAATGCATTGGGATGCACCGGGAAGCACCGGGGCCCCCCGGGGCAGGCGGGGGGGGGCTTCCCGGGGCTCAGGGCGGCATCGCGGGGTCCCCCCTGTCCCCTCCCGCCCGGTCTCACCTCGGGGCGCCGGCGGCCCGCGGAGGCCCCTGCGGAGCAGGTCGCAGGCGGAGCCGTTGCCGGTGCCGGAGCCGTTGCCGGGGCCGGGGCCGGGGCCGGGCCGGCAGAGCAGCTCCTGCAGAGACTCGTTGAGACGCGGGGGGTCCATGGCAGCGGCGGGGCCCCGTCAGAGCCGGCCCGCGCCCATCACCGCGGCCCCGGGCGGCAGCTCCGCTCGGCTCCGGGAGACCGGGAGAGTGACCGGGAACGGCGGCGGGGGCGGGGCAGGCGGAGGCGGGGCCAGGGCGGTGGCAACCGTCACCGTGGTGTCTGGCACCGTGTGCCCATCCCGTGTGATCTTCCCTGTGTGTCCATCCCTGTGTGTCCATCCCTGTGTGTCCATCCCTGTGGTGTCCATCCTTGTGGTGTCTGGCACCGTGTGCCCATCCCGTGTGATCTTCCCTTGTGTCCATCCCTGTGGTGTCTGACACCGTGTGTCCATCCCATGTGTCCATCCCTGTGTGTCCATCCCTGTGTGTCCATCCCTTGTGTCCATCCCTGTGGTGTCTGACACCGTGTGTCCATCCCTTGTGTCCATCCCTGTGTGTCCATCCCTGTGTGTCCATCCCTTGTGTCCATCCCTGTGGTGTCTGACACCGTGTGTCCATCCCTTGTGTCCATCCCTGTGTGTCCATCCCTGTGTGTCCATCCCTGTGGTGTCTGACACCGTGTGTCCATCCCTGTGTGTCCATCCCTGTGGTGTCTGACACCGTGTGTCCATCCCCTGTGTCCATCCCTGTGTGTCCATCCCTGTGGTGTCTGACACCGTGTGTCCATCCCTTGTGTCCATCCCTGTGGTGTCTGACACCGTGTGCCCATCCCGTGTGATATTCCCTTGTGTCCATCCCTGTGGTGTCTGACACCGTGTGTCCATCCCATGTGTCCATCCCTGTGTGTCCATCCCTGTGTGTCCATCCCTTGTGTCCATCCCTGTGGTGTCTGACACCGTGTGTCCATCCCTTGTGTCCATCCCTGTGTGTCCATCCCTGTGTGTCCATCCCTGTGGTGTCTGACACCGTGTGTCCATCCCTGTGTGTCCATCCCTGTGGTGTCTGACACCGTGTGTCCATCCCATGTGTCCATCCCTGTGTGTCCATCCCTGTGGTGTCTGACACCGTGTGTCCATCCCTGTGTGTCCATCCCTTGTGTCCATCCCTGTGGTGTCTGACACCGTGTGCCCATCCCGTGTGATATTCCCTTGTGTCCATCCCTGTGGTGTCTGACACTGTGTGTCCATCCCATGTGTCCATCCCTGTGTGTCCATCCCTGTGTGTCCATCCCTGTGGTGTCTGACACCGTGTGTCCATCCCTGTGTGTCCATCCCTGTGTGTCCATCCCTGTGTGTCCATCCCTGTGGTGTCTGACACCGTGTGTCCATCCCTGTGTGTCCATCCCTGTGTGTCCATCCCTGTGTGTCCATCCCTGTGTGTCCATCACTGTGGAGTCCATCACTGGTGGCTCCCATGGTGTCTCGTGTGGATTTGCCTGAGGGTCCCATACCTGTCCCTGTCCTGGTTTTAATTCCCATTACTGTCTTTATCCCTGTGCTTGCCCCTGCCCCTGTTCCCATCCCTCCCTATTCCTACCCGTACCCTCATCCCTACTTTCATCACTATTCCTATCCCTGTCTTTCCCTGACCTTATCTCTGTCCTTATTCCTACTGCCATCTGCATCCCAGTCCCCATCCAGTATTCCTATCCCCATCGCGCCATCCCTGTCCCAAACCCATGTCATCATCCTACATCCCTGTCCCCATCCCTGTCCTTACCCCTGTCTCCTTCCTGATCCCGCTCCTGTCCTCATCCCAATCCTGATCTTGATCCCATCCCATCCTGCTGCTTTCCTGCCATTACCAGGCTCCAGCTCTTGGGTCCCCCCTGCTGCTGTCACACCTGCAGGACCCCAGAGCTGGAGAGGCAAAGGTGGGACCTGGGGGGACCCTGCACCTTGGGGGGATGCTGTGACCTGGGGGATGCTATGACCTGGGGGGACCCTGCACCTTGGGGGGATGCTGTGACCTGGGGGATGCTATGACCTGGGGGGACCCTGCACCCCACTGGGACCCTGGACCCTGGGGGGACCCTGCACCTTGGGGGGATGCTGTGACCTGAGGGATGCTATGACCTGGGGGGACCTGGGACCCTGGACCCTGGGGGGACCCTGTGACCTGGGGGGATCTTGTGCCCTGGGGTGACGCAGTGCCCTGCCTGCCCCACTGGGACCTTGCACCTTGGGCTGTCCCCGTGTGCCAGGGTGACCCTGAGCACCAGCAGGACCCTGTGCCCCAGTGGGACCCTGTGCCCTGGCCGCCCTACTGGGACCCTGTGCCCCGGTGGGACCCTGTGCCCTGGCTGCCCTACTGGGACCCTGTGCCCCGGTGGGACCCTGTGCCCCGGTGGGACCCTGTGACTTGGATGGACCTGGTACCCTGGGGGGACCCTGAGCCTCAGCAGGACCCTGAGCCCCAGCAGGACCCTGTGCCCCAGTGGGACCCTGTGCCCTGGCTGCCCTACTGGGAACCTGTGCCCCAGTGGGACCCTGTGCCCCGGTGGGACCCTGTGCCCTGGCCGCCCTACTGGGACCCTGTGCCCCGGTGGGACCCTGTGCCCCGGTGGGACCCTGTGACTTGGAGGGACCTGGTACCCTGGGGGGACCCTGAGCCCCAGCAGGACCCTGTGCCCTGGGCGCTGCACCAGGACCCTGCCCCTTGGCCTGTCCCCGCTGTCCCCCCCTGGCTGCTGCGTCCCGGCGCTGCCGCAGCTGCTGCTCGAGGCGCTGCACCCGCAGCCTCAGGCGGCCCTCGGTGGCCTCCAGCTGCGCCACCAGCGCTGCCACCCGCACCCGCAGCCCCGCCAGGGCCTCCTCCAGCCCCCGTGCCCGCAGAGCGGCCGCTGCTGCCGCCGCCTCAGCGCCGGGGTCCAGGAGCCCCGAGAGCTGCAGCAGCCGCCGGCCCTCAGCCTCCAGCGCCGCCCGCGCTCCGGGGAACTCGGCCAGGACCTGGAGCAGGTCCTGCTTGGAGAGCAGGAAGAGCTCCGAGTGCCCCACGCTCACGATGTCAGCGGTGCGCCGGTTCCCGCAGCGGTTCCCTGCGGAGCGGGACCGGCGCTGACCCACAGTGCCCCACACAGTGACCCACACTGCCGACCCACAGTGACCCACACTGCCCCGCTGCTGACCCACAGTGACCCACACTGCCCCGCTGCTGACCCACAGTGACCCACACTGCCCCACTGCTGACCCACAGTGACCCACACTGCCCCGCTGCTGACCCACAGTGACCCACAATGCCCCACTGCTGACCCACACTGCCCCACTGCTGACCCACAGTGACCCACACTGCCCCGCTGCTGACCCACAGTGACCCACACTGCCCCACTGCTGACCCACACTGCCCCACTGCTGACCTACACAGTGACCCACACTGCCCCACTGCTGACCCACAGTGACCCACACTGCCCCACTGCTGCCCCACGCAGTGACCCACTTTGCCCCACAGTGACCAACAGTGACCTACACGACACACAGTGACCCACTGCTGACCCACACATTGACCCACAGTGCCCCACACCTGATGCACAGTGACCCACAGTGCCCCACTGCTGACCCACACTGCTCCACAGTGCCCCACTGCTGAACTGCACTGCCCCATAGGGCCGCCCCCGCACCCCGCAATGCTCACCGGGGATGTGGATGAGGCTGAGCTCCCCGAAGTACCTGCCCTGGCCCAGCACAGCCACGGGGGTGGCACCGTCGTCGCCCAGCACGGCCACGAGCCCGCTGCGGATGAAGAACATGTGCCGGCCCACGTGGCCGCGGCGGCACACGGGCTCCCCGGGGCCGTAGGCCTGGGCCCGCAGGCGCAGCACCAGGCGCCGCAGGACGCCGCGCTCGCAGCCGCGGAACACGCCAACGCGGCTCAGAGCCCGCAGGTGCGCGGCGGCCGCCAGCTCCTCGTGCAGCGCCCGCGGCAGTGCCCGCAGCGTGCTCTCCTCCAGCGCCAGTGCCGGCTCTGGCCGCCACCGCTGCAGGCGCCGCCGCAGCTCCCCAGGCCCCAGTAGCTGCCTCGCGGCAGCGGTGCTGCGCTGCCAGGCTCCGCGCGTGGCGCCCACCACGGCGCCGATGCTGCCGGTGATGGTGGCGAAGGCCAGGACGCCCAGGAGGAAGCTGAAGGTGGCGAAGAGCAGCTCGGGCACGCGGCGAGGCGTCGGCGTGTCCCCCACGGTGGCGAGCAGGAGCGTGGCCGTGTAGAAGCTGTGCAGGTACTGGCGCCAGGCGCCGGGGCTGCTGGGGCAGAGCCAGGCATCGGATCCGAGCCCGAGGTGCGCTGAGAGTGCGAAATAGGCGCAGGCGAGGCCGTGGAGCGCAGTCCCGGCGCCCAGCAGCAGCGCGGCCACGCGCAGGGCACCGGGACGAGCCGCCCGGGTCTCGCGGCGCTGCCAGGCCTCGCACAGGCGCCGCGCCCGCAGCCACCGCGTGGCACGAGCCGCAGGGCGCCCCCACAGCAGCTCCAGCGGTGCCGATGACGCCAGGTCCCACCAGAACGAGCCGGACCCAAGGTACCGGCGGCGGATGCGGAGCCGGTCCCGCACCAGGAGCCCGTCCTCAGGGAAGGCTGCAGGGGGAGAGCAGCAGTGCTGGGGGTGTGGGGCTGTGGGGGTATGGGGTGATGGCGGTGTGTGGGGTGGCGTGGGGCAGGCGTGGGGTGGGGCTGGGGGTATGTGGGGTGGCATGGGGCAGGTGTGGGGTGGCGTGGGGCAGGTGTGGGGCACCATGGGTCACTGTGTGGGTCGCAGTGGGGCAGAGTGGGGGTCCCTGTGGGTCACGCACCCGTGTGCAGCCTCACGCCGATGTCCCCCAGGTACAACACATCACTGAGGGTGTCCAGCCCCAGCCACAGCCGTGGGAGCTGGTCCTGCACCTCTGGGAAGCACAACCTGGAACCGGCACCGTCAGCGCCACCATCAGCACCAGGACCCCCATCGCCCCCCGTGCCCCCCCTGTCACCTGCAAACGGGGACCATGCAGTTGTAGAGGATGGGCAGCACCATGATCGTGATCCACCGGTAGTACCAGTCACCGGAGGGGTCCAGCGTCCAGTTGTGGTGGGGCTCAGGGCTGCTGGGGGTCAGAGGGACATCAGGGGCCGCCCGATGGTTCCTCACTCACCAGCCCCATCATCAGCACCCACCCGGCTCCTGCTCACCCCCAGAGCTGCCGCCGGAGCCACCGCAGGGACAGCCTGTGGCCGGTGCTGCCCATCCCGTGCCGTGGGCCTCGGTCCCTGCTCTCGGTACCAGTGCTGCAGCCCAGCAGTGACACCGAGCTTGTCCCCAGGCACCGTGACGCAGCCGCCAGCGCCCTGGCAACCCCGGTCCCTGCGGTGACACCGGTGCAGCCTGGGGACGGGGCCAGTGCCCATGGCCGCGGCTGCTCCAGCCACGGTGGCAGCTCCCGTTACCTGTCCCAGGCTGATGGAGCAGAGCCCAGGGTGCCCCTTATGGGGGTGCCCGTTATGGGGGTGCCCAGTGCAGGGATTCCTGTTGAGGGGGTCCCGGTGCAGGGGTACCCAGTGTAGGGGGGTGCTTGTTATGGGGGTGCCCACTATGGGGGTGCCCTTTGAATGGGGGCTCCCGTTGTAGTGGGGTGCTGTGTGCAGGCGGTACCTGGTGTAGGGGGTATCCAGTGCAGGGGGGCTCCCATTGTGGGGGGTTCCCCGTGCAGGGGATGCCCGGTGCAGGGAGTACCTGGTGCGGGGTTCATGGTGCAGGGAGGCTCCGTTCCGGGGGCTCCGGGTGTTCCCCGTTCCCATCCCCTTCCCCTTTCCCAGACCCACCACACCCCACGGCGGTCAGGCCCCGCCTCCCTCGGCTGGCCCCACCCCGTTCTCAGAGCAGCCAATGAGCACTCAGCAACGCCCCGCCTGACCCCGCCCACGGCACGGATGGGGCGGGACCTCAGCATCGGAAGGCGTGGTTAAAGCGGCAATGGGCGGGGTCTACCTGACAGCGGGCGTGGTCACTCTGACACGGGGCGTGGCCTATGCCGGCGGTGGGCGTGTCCTGCGCGTCCGGCGCGCCGGGCGGCGGCGGGAAGATGGCGGCGATCGTGCGCGGCCCGCGGGGGGGGCAGCCGGTGAGCGGCGGGGCCGGGGGAGCAGGGCCGGGCCGGGGCTGGGGCTGGGGCCGGGCCGGGGCCGGGGCCAGCGGGCGGGGAGCGGGCGGGGACCCGGCTGGGAGCGGCCCCGCGGGGAACCCGGGCCGGGGGTACCCGCGGTGGGGCCGGGAGCGGGGCCGGGCCTGGGCCGCGCCGCGCCGCCGGAGTCGAACCGGGCCGCGGCCGGTACCGGGGTTCGGTGCCGGGCCCAGCGTCCGCCCGACGCCTCCTCCATCCCCTCAGGGTCGGCGCTGACGGGACGGAGCTGCCGTGACCTTGACCCCAGGTAGGCGGCAGCGGGATCCGGTACCGGCCCCCGCTCGTATTGGGGCACCGGAGCGTGCCCTGTTCCGGCCCCGGGCACACGCGGGGACCGACACGGCCTTTCCCGGGCTACCGGGACCCTGCTCCGGGGACGGGGCTCCGGCTGTTCCGGGGGATGTGCACAGAGCTGCCCGAATGGGGCTGGGATAGGGCCGGTAACACCCGGCTGTGCCGGGGCTCGTCCCGGTGTCTGTGTGCCAGTGGGCACCGGGAATCACCCGGCACCATGGAGGAGGCCAGAGCCATGTCCCACAGCAGGGACACGTGTTGGGATGGAGCCGATGGGGTTGAGGTGGTTGGGATGGAGCTGATAGGATAGAGCCAGGTAGGGTGGAGGTGATGGGGTGGCGTAGGATGAGCCGGGGTGGCTGTCCCGGTTCTCCCGTTATCCTGGTTGGGTGCTGGGAGCTTCCCCCATGCCGGGGCTGGGCCGCTCCCAGTCCAAAGTGCAGGGCTGGGAACGCCACTGGCACCTGCCCACCCCCTTCCTCGTGCTGTGCCCGGTGCTGTGGCACTGTGCGGTCACCTGGCTGCTCCTTCCCATCACCGCCGGGCCCGGCCTGGTGCCACCACCAGGGCACCGGCTGCTGGGTCCCGGTGCTCCCTGTGCTGCCGAGCGGTGCCGGGGTCAGGGATGGAGGGATGGAGATGGAGGGGATGGGTTTGGAGTGATAGAGATGGAGGGATGGAGGTGGAGGGGATGGAGACGTTGGGATGGGGTTGGAGGGATGGAGATGGAGGTGGAGGGATGGAGATGGAGGGGATGGAGATGTTGGGATGGGGTTGGAGTGATAGAGATGGAGGTGGAGGGGATGGAGATGGAGGGGATGGAGATGGAGGGGATGGAGATGTTGGGATGGGGTTGGAGTGATAGAGATGGAGGTGGAGGGATGGAGATGGACGAATGGAGATGGAGGGATGGAGATGTTGGGATGGGGTTGGAGGGATAGAGATGGAGGTGGAGGGATGGAGCTGGAGGCCCTGTGGGGTTGCCCTGTCCCTGTGGTCTCAGCCACCGCTGTCCCCGCAGTGCAGCCCTGTGTGCCACCAGCATGGGGTGAGTGTCCCCGTGGTGAGCGCGTTGGCCATGGAGCGGATGAGCTGGTTGTCCAAGCTGACCCCGCGGGCGGGAGGGCAGAGGCCCCCCCGCAGCACCGGCGCCACCAGCCCTGTCACTGCCGACCCTGAAACCTGCCTCATGGTCTTCAAGAACCACTGGTCCCAGGTGAGCCGCGGGGACATGGGAACACGCACAGGGACATGGGGACATGGGACTCAGTGTGGCCACGGGCATCTTGTCATGTCCCACCACATGAGGACATGGACCCTGGCACCCAGTGATGCCACCACATGTCATGTCCTGTCAGGGTTCTCCTCTACTGCATGGGGACATGGAGCACCACAGGGACATGGCATGGGGATAGGAACCCCAGCACGCAGCGCTGCCAGCATATGTCATGTCCCACCACCACATGGGGACATGGACCACCGTGGTGACATGGCATGGGAATGGGGACCCCAGCACCGCTATGTGTCATGTCGTGTCCCACCACCAACATACTGGGACATGGACCCTTGCGTTCAATGCTGCTGCCGTACATTGTGCCATGTCGTAACCATGGGGGGATGGCATGGGGATGGGGACCACGGCACTCAGTGCCACCACCATACGTCATATCCCGTTCACCACCGCAAGGAGACATGGACCATTATGGGGCTGGGGACCCTGGCATCCAACCCCACTGCCATGTGTCCCGTTGTGTCCCACCACCACCGGGGACACGGACCCCGGCACTCGACGCGCCCTGTCCCGCAGGTGCTGCGGGTGCTGGAGCGCGGCGGCTGCCCCCCGGGCCCGGATGACGTGGCAGCGGTGCGGAACCACTCGCTGCAGATGCTGCAGCTGCTGGCGGAGGAGCGGCCGCGGGCGGGCGCGGCGCAGCCGGGACCCATCCTGGCCTTCGTGGCGCAGGAGCAGGTGCTGGCGCGGCTGCTGAGCTGGCACGCGCGCGGCGGCTTCCCCGAGGAGCAGCGCCTGGAGCAGCTGCGGCTCTACGAGGTGCTGCTGGCGCAGGCGCGGCAGGCGGTGCTGCGGCACGGAGCCGTGCGCGCCCCGCTCCTGCGCCTCCTGCGCCTGTGCGCGCAGCCCTCGTCCCCCGCGCTGCAGCACGGCCTCGTCCTCCTGCTCAACCAGCTCTGCGTGTGCGTGGCCAAGGAGCCCGCCATCCTGGAGCTCTTCTTCCACAGCCCCCCGGAGCAGGGCCCCGCCAACATCATCATCTTCTCGCTCCTCGTCCCCTTCATCCACCACGAGGGCGTCCTGGGGCAGCAGGCCAGGGACGCGCTGCTGCTCATCATGGCCATGTCGGCCAACAACCACGCCGTGGCCAAGTCCATCACCGACAACTCCTACTTCTGCCCGGTACGGGTGGAGAGCTGGGAGATGGGGGTGGAAGGGATGGAGGTGGAGGGGGTTGGGATGGACAAGGTGGACGTGGAGGGGATGGAGGCAGAGGAATGGAGAGTAGGGATGGAGAGACTGGAGATAGGATAAGGGGGACATAGGAGATGGAGGTGGAGGGGATGCCGATGGAGGGGATGGAAATGGAGAACTTGGAGATGAGATGGAGGACTTCAGGTGTCCGGATGGAGGTGGAGAGCTTGGAGATGAGATGGAGGATTTGAGGTGTCAGGATGGAGATGGAGAGGATGGAGATGGAGAGCATGGAGATGAGATGGAGGATTGGAGGTGTCAGGATGGAGATGGAGAGCATGGAGATGAGATGGAGGATTGGAGGTGTCAGGATGGAGATGGAGAGGATGGAGATGGAGAGCATGGAGATGAGATGGAGGATTGGAGGTGTCGGGATGGAGATGGAGAGCATGGAGATGAGATGGAGGATTGGAGGTGTCGGGATGCAGATGGAGAGGATGCAGATGGAGAGCTTGGAGATGAGATGGAGGATTGGAGGTGTCGGGATGGAGATGGAGAGCATGGAGATGAGATGGAGGATTGGAGGTGTCGGGATGCAGATGGAGAGCTCGGAGGGGTGGAGGCTGGATGGAGACGTTGGGTTGCGGTGTTGGGATGGGGTGTTGGATGCAGGTCTCCATGCCCATGTCCCCACAGGTGCTGGCCGCAGGGCTGAGCGCTCTGTACTCATCACTGCCGCGGCGCCTGGAGGTACCGGGTGATGAATGGCACCGGCTGCGGCGCCGCGACTGGCTGGGGGTGGCCCCGCTTGTGCTCTTCATCAACAGCCTTGAGTTCTGCAATGCCGTGCTCCAGGTACTGCATGGGGGGTCCGGGGAGGGCTGTGGGGCTGGAGACCTCCGTGGGGCTTGCGGCTCTGCTGTGGGTCTGGCCATGGCCATGGCCCGGGTTTTGTGCCCCACAGGTCGCCCACCCCCTGGTGCAGAAGCAGCTGGTGGAGTACATCCACAACGGGTTCCTGGTGCCCGTCATGGGCCCGGCACTGCACAAGGTGAGTCCCACCTGCCCCACAGCCCCATGGACCCTGCCCCTGGGTGCGGGCCCGGCCCCAGCCCCACGATGCCGTGTGCGCAGACATCGGTGGAGGAGGCGGTGGCCAGCACCGCGTACCTGGAGCTGTTCCTGCGCAGCGCCAGCGCCCCGGCGCTGCTCCGCACCTTCCTGCGCTTCCTCCTGCTGCACCGCCACGACGGCAGCACCATCCTGGACACGCTCATCGCCCGCATCAACAGCAACGCCCGGGTGAGTGCCGAGGCTGCCCCGGGGCTGCCCCACACACTGCCCCCAGAACAGCGCCCTGAGCTGCTGCCCCACTGCAGGGCTGCCCCGTGGACACCCCAATGGACTGTCCAGCCATGGCCCTGCCCCGCTGCGGGGCTGCCCCATGGCGCTGCCCCATGGGCTGCCCCACTGCGTCCCCTGATGTGGCGCTGTCCCCAGCTCTGCATGGTGTCCCTGAGCCTCTTCCGGACCCTGCTCAGCCTCAACTGTGAGGACGTGATGCTGCAGCTGGTGCTCAGGTACCCCTGGCCTGCCACCACAGGCGTGCCCCCAACACGTGTCCCCCCCATGTGTGTTCCCCCCAACACGTGTGCCCCCCATGTGTGTTCCCCCCAACACGTGTGCCCCCCATGTGTGTCCCCCCCACACACGCGTCCCCTGACGTGTCCCCCCCCCAGGTACCTGCTGCCCTGCAGCCACCTCATGCTGAGCCAGAAGCGGGCCGTCAGAGACCTGGACATCTACGGCAGGACGGCCGCCAAGTTCCTGTCCCTCATCCCCCAGTGCTGCCAGCCCCAGAGCCCGCCCTTGCCCCACCGCGACCAGGAACCGGCTGCCTGGAGCAGGGGTACGGAGCCAGTGTCCCTGTGTCCCCTGGTCACCCATAGCCCATCCCTCTGTGCCCTGGTCACCCCATGGCCTAGCCCCGTGTCCCTCGGGCTGCCGGGTCGAGCCATATCCATATCCCAGCCCTGAGCTGCCTTGGTGCTGTCCCCGTGTCCCTCGGGCTGCTGGGTCAAGCTCTATTCCCATGCCGAGCCCAGTTCCTTGGGCTGCCCGCTCAGCCCCAGTCCCAGCCCTGAGCCCCCGCTGCCCTCCCCGCAGGTCCTGGCAGCCCCAGCACGGACGCAGCAGCGGCGCCGAAGCCGTCCACCCCGTCCCGCCTCTCCTTCTTCATGCGGCAGCACAACGCGGCGAGCGACGGCAGCGGCGCTGCCCCGTGCTCTCCCGGCACGGCCTCGGGCAGCCCTGGGCACCGCGCTGGGAGGTGGGACGAGGTCTCGGAGCTGGACGGGAATTACCTGGAGTACCTGCGGGACGCGCGGCACAGCATCGACCGCTGCGCCTGGGCCTGCCGCGTGTGGTCAGCGCCCTACGATGGCGAGGAGCCGCGGGGCGATGGGGACGGGCTCCCCACGGACACCGCTGCCCCACGGCCCCCGTCCCCACGGACAAAGAAACGGGGTTTGCCGGAGGGCCCCCCCGCTGGTGGCGCCGGTGACACCGGCACGGGCGGGCCCAGCCCCGAGCGCCGGGAGGCAGGGCCGGTGCTGAACGGGACGCACGCGCCGGCGGCTCCGGGCCGGCCCGAGGCTGATGTGGTGCTGAAGAAAGTTCGGCGGCGGCAGCGGGAGGACGAGGAGGAGGAGGAGGAGGAGGAGGAGGAGGCCTGGGGCGATGGGAGGCCCCGGGCGCGGGAGCCGCTGCCCGCCGTGGACTCGGTGCTGGACGAGCTCTTGGCCAACGCGCCCGCGGAGCCCAACGGCGGCACCATCGAGGCCTTCACCGAGGAGCTGCAGCGGCTCGAGGCCAGGATGAAGAATGGCAGCGATGGGGACGAGGGGGACACCGAGCCCCAGGATCCCCCCAAGGTGCCGCATGAGGAGGAGGAGGATGAGGAGGAGGAGGAGACCTTCACCAGCTTCACCAGCCCCCCCCCGCGGCCACCGGACCCGCTGGCCCAAGCAGTGGCTTCCCCCCCGCGAGCTGTGGGGCCGCCCCCCAACCAGCCCTTCACAGGTGAGGCCGTGGGGCGGTGGGGCTGCCCCATAACCAGCCCCTCACTGGTGGGATGGGGATACGAGGCTGCCCCAGATCAGCCCTGGGATATGGGGTTGTACCCAGGGGTCACAGCGGCCCTGCATAGGTGGGATGTGGGTGTGTGGAGCTGACCCCAGCCAGCCATTCACATGGGGGGTCCCACTGCCTCGCGGTGGTGCCGGTGGCTCCGGTGCCGGTGCCGGCTGAGCCGCCGCTGCCGGCGCAGGTCCCTTCGTGTCGGCGCTGCTGGCCAAGCTGGAGAACATGCCCCACAACTCGCTGTACGTGAACGTGCTGCTCACGGGGCTCGTGGCCCAGCTCGCCTGCTACCCCCAGCCCCTGCTCCGCTCCTTCCTGCTCAACACCAACATGGTTTTCCAGCCCAGCGTCAAGTCCCTGCTGCAGGTACCGGCGCAGGGGGCCCTGCGGGGGGCCCAGGTGCGGGTCCCAGCCCCTCCCGCACCCCCTGCTCCCGCCGCAGGTCCTGGGCTCTGTGAAGAACAAGATCGAGGCGTTCGCGGCCACGCAGGAGGATTTCCCGGTG